GGGGGGGTGCTAAGGATAGGTGTCTGGGATGGGGATAGCAGCTCTAGGCTGAGGCACACCAGCCTATGTCTGATGGGTGCCCCCGGGGGTAGGTGTCGGGGAGGAACACGCGAGAGAGCAGAGCTGGTGGGTCAAGCTGGAAGGGGAGGGGTGAGGAGACAAGCTGGCTACCTGCTATCGCTGCACTTGGTCCTTAGGAATGCATAAGTCACACCTGCCAACTTGGCTCAAGTGCCCTGTTTCTTTCAGACGCCAAAGACCCGGATCAGCTGGGCCGGAATAAGATCACACATATCATCTCTATCCACGAATCACCCCAAACTCTGCTGCAGGTACCCCAAACCCGCCATTCCAGGGCTGGTGGGTTGGGGGACTGGGGAGCTGTAGGTCCAGGGCTACCCTCCACCCCATCCCTACTTTCTAGTACTGGAGATTAGCTTAGGGTGTCAAACATGCCCCAGGCAAATGCTCTCTCCCTGAGCCACAGTCCCTGGACTACCATCTCGACCCCAGCTGGCTCATCCAGCCTCCGCACCGGACTGTTTTATCATCCCTGTGTGGTGACTGAGGCCACAGGAGTAAATGAACTCACCTAAGGTCATACAGTGAAGACACTAGCCAACTAGAATTTGAACACAGTCCATCTGACCCTAGAGGTCTCGTATCAATCCTGAATATTAAGACCTTAAAATGCAGGTACCATATTAATCCCTTTTGCACTGACCTGTACATCCTTCCAATTGCCAAGTATCGAGATGATTCCAAACAGACGCTCCCAGGTTCTGTGTCTTGCACTGTGACTTCAGCTCTTTAGTGCCTTTGAGCCCAGCTGCCCCAGAGGGCTGTAGTGAGGGTCCAGAGGGCCTGCCAGATGTGGAAGACATTTCCGCATGCTGCAAGGCACATTCCCATTGGGTGGTTGGTTCTGCTCTCATGGAGTCCTAAGGAAGAGAAGATGGTTTTAGGACCAAAAAAAAAAAAAAAACTCAGACCACTGGCACTAGAGTCCAAAGACCATTTTTTCTCTTTGTGAACTTTACACAAGACAAGCTGAGCCCCAGATAGTAAATGGAAATTTTACAATAGTACGAACTTCACTGAGTGCCTCTGAGACACATATAGATGTTCAGAAAAGTATAACTGATAAAAGATAAGTTGTTGCTTTAAATGCTCTTATCCCAGGCTAGGGAAATGACTCAGTGTCTAAGAGCACTTTCTACAGATCCTCAGCACCCATATAGAAGCCAGGCATGCCCATATGTGCCTGTAACCCTGGCACCAGAGGTAGAGCAGGTGGAGGCAGGAGAACCTTTGGGAGCAGCTGGCTGCCAGCCAGGCTGAAAAACGTCTCCAGGTTCTGGGAGAGGGCCCGTCTCAGGGGAATAAGGCAGAGGGTAATAGAGCAAGACACCTAACCTTGGCAGACATGCACATAATGTATGTAGCTACCCCGCCCATGCATACATATGTGCATGCATAGCTACACACACATATATACACACACATGCCTTTTTTCATGTATCCATATACATATATATTCCCAGAAGAGAGCCTCTTATATTAGGTTCCATGTCTACTACAGCTACTGCAGAGTTGAGAAGGCTCAGGAGATCTTAAATTAAAAAAAAAAAAAAAAAAAAAGCCAGGTGGTGGTGGCACATGCATTTAATCCAAGAACTTGGGAGGCAGAGGCAGGCGGATCTCTGTAAGTTCAAGACCAGCCTGGTCTACAGAGTGAATTCCAGCACAGCCAAGGCTACAGAGAGAAACCCTGTCTCGAAACACCAGCAGAAAAAAGAAAAGGGGGGGGGGGGTGCTCTAGGGGCTGGAGAGATGGCTCAGTGGTTAAGAGCACTTGTTCTTGTGAAAATCCAGGCTTGATTCCCAGCACCCACATGGCAGCTCACACGGTAACTCCAGTTCCAGAGCGATCTGATGCCTTCTTCTGACCTCCAAGGGCACCGGGCACACACACAACACACATTTGCACACGTGCAAGCAGAACACTCACACATTAAATAAATCTTTTAAATTAATGAGCAAACAAAAAAGCAATGACAGAGCCTACCACAAGCTTGCTGTGATGGCCTTGGCAGGGCCTTTCTCCCTTTCAGGGACTCAGCTTTTTCACCTCTCAGATTTGATGGTCTGTAAGGGCAGCTGACAATAATCTATGACTTTCATTGTCCGTGAAGAAATTTCCAGGCCAGTGGAGTCCGAGTTTGCATTCTAGGGCAGCCTCATTCTGGAGCACTGGAGTAGGTGGTCTGAACAGATTGCACGGGCAGGCTTTCCAAGTTATTAACGTGTTTGTTACAGAATGAGTGCTTAGAAAAAGAGCCCTGCCCCGACACCTCACCAGCAGCTGTCCCTCCCATCAGGGAGTTCAGTAGACAGGGTTTGATGCTGCCAGGCAAGCTCACAGCCAAACACACTGCACAGGGAAAGTGCAGATCCCACAGACAACAAGGGATTCCGTGACCTTGGACATGTTAGACGGACATGGGACAAGCCTCCATGGGCACAAGAGGACAAATCCTGTGTCCTTCAAGAGCTGCTGCCAGCAGCAGGCCAGGCACCTGAAAAAAAAGTCATGTGAAGTAGTAAAATGTTAAGGGAGATCCTTGAGAAACGCAGTGAGGGGTTGAAAACATGGGCAGAAAGAGCCTCGGTACCCTGGCGTGAATACCTCAGCATGAAGCCAAGCCTGTCAGAGCAATTCTTGAAGCTGTGCTCGCTGATGTTGGTGTTATTGTGTGCATTCTGTCTGTCTGTCTGTCCTTTGAGTCAGAGACTTACTGTGGTAGCCCAGGCTGGTCTCTAACTCATAATTCTCCTGCCTCAGCCTCCTGAGTGCTAGGATTACAGATGGGCAGTCACTATGCCTAACTGTTCTTTTCATACTTTCATACTCTTCAAGACAGTGAGCTCTGCCCTTTCCCTGTGTAACTCTGCAATCCCCACTTGGAGGACAGGCCCTTAAAGAGGTACCTTCCCAGCTTCCAAGTCCTTGTGGGTGAGGACACCATCTGCACAGAGCTGGCAGGCCCTGCTCTTTGGGGAGAGGAAAACAATCGCGGTCCAGAGAAGGGTCAGGAATGGGCTGGGGTTGCACTGACCTTGGCAGCTCAGGCTGGAGGAGGGGTGCAGGCAGGGCCCACCATCTGAGTGTGTGTTACATCCTTGCAGGATATCACCTATCTTCGAATCTCAGTGGCTGACACTCCTGAGGTACCCATGTAAGTTCCCCTGGATAGGTCAAGAGCTGACAGAGAGATGCCCTCTGGGGTGGGAGTGAGGCTGTAGAGTATTCAGGCCAAAAAGCTGTCATGGGGCACCCAGAGCCAGACTGGGTCTGTTTCAACCATGCCCTTGCAGAATGTCCCTCATCAACTCTCTCCAGGGCCTCAGCCTCCTCCCCTGTGACATGGAGAAAGTGTCTTGTCTCTTGGGACCAGGTGCACAGCAGAGTTGAGGGTCAGCCGTGTCTTGCATACTGGCTTACAGTTAAGACACCTGGTTTGTAGCCAGGCTCTGGCATTTACTGCTGTGTGACCTTGGCAAAATAGCTTGTCTTCTCTGACCTTCAGCTACATAAATGCAGGAGGTGATGAGTCAAGGAGATTTGCAAAAATGAGGTGACCCCGGTGGAGGATGTGGGACGGACCTGGTCATTGCAGGGGTCATGTCTGGTTTACTAGCACTGGTACAGGAGCTTGGGACGGACCCAGGCTGAAGCCTTGCCCTTTGGGGCTCTTCTCCCAGCCCACTGCTGACCACTGTTCCAGATGCTCTGGTTGTAGACCCCAGAAGAATGGCACCCCCACTCTCCCCACTTTCATGCCCTTGTTCCCTCTACCCACTGGAGAGGCACCTGCCTCGGCGGTAGCCAGCCTCTCTCCCTACCTGCAATGCTGCCTCCTTCCATTCACCATGCATGCTGGCTGCACTGAGGACCTAGGGTTCTCTGTCTCTTGCTGTCCGTAAATGGGGAGGAAACAGCTCCCGAGCAACCTGCCCCACCCCAGCACTCCTTCTCCTGTCGCTCTCTTCTCTAGCAAAAAACACTTCAAAGAATGCATCAACTTTATCCACTGTTGCCGCCTCAACGGGGGTAACTGCCTTGTGCACTGGTGAGTTCCGAAAGGCATCCTCCTCATGTGCATGCCTGCGGGGCAGGTCCCCTCCGGCCTGTCACAGTGCTGACAGCCCATCACTCATCAGGACAGACCACTCAGAGGCTCACTCCTGGCAGCTGGATGGCCATAGCCCAGCAGCTGTTTCCCTGAGACTCCATCTTCTTATCTGTAAAGTGGGGAATGAAGGTTAGGTCTTACAATGCTGACAGGGCTGTTGGGTCACTGAGGTAACCCATTCATTCTAGCTTCTCTCCTCCCCTGCAGGCCTCTGAGGCAGGAGTGCAGGGTTAGAACTCTGAGTCTCCCCCAGTGTCCCTGACCCAAAGATAATATTCATCCCATGACCTCTCACCAAGATGGTCTGTCAGGGGCCAAGGGACCAGCTCTTTTAAGAGCTGGTTCTCCCCACAGTTAGCCATCCTACCCTGCCCTTCCCCAATCACCAGCCCGCCTTCCACCTCAAGATCTTTGTACATACTACCTAAGAATCTTTTGTTCTATCTTGTGGTGTGGGCAATTGAACTCAGCCTCATACACACCAAGCATGCACTCCACAATTCACCTGCGGTCCCCGGCCCTCAACATTCTTGGCTTGGTTTGATGTCCCTTCCCACCCCCACTAAAGAAACCTCTTCAAACCCCAGACTCACCTTGTCTTCAAGCGCTCATCGGTATCTGAAATTGCTGCTTTGGTTAGCAGCTGTTTCTCCAAACGACACTGTAAGCTCCAGGGCATCAGAGATCATGGGTTTTTTTCCTTAACCCAGGACCTGAACAAAAAGATGGTCAAGGGAAGCTTGTTGAATGGATGAATGATATTTCCACCAGTCCCTTAGTGTGAGAGAGAGAGTACTGGTCAAAGGGAAATGTCACAACTCAAAGGTTGAAGCTAGGAAGGCAGGCTCCCTGTGGTTGGACAAGAGTGGAGAGGCTCCAGGGTGGGAAGGGCGTATGGAAGGGAGCGGGAAGTCCTGAAGCCTGGGGTTGCCCCGATCCAGCTTTGCAGGTATATCTCGAAGTACCACCATCGTGATCGCCTATGTGATGACGGTGACTGGACTAGGCTGGCGGGAAGTGCTTGAAGCCATCAAGGCCACCCGGCCCATCGCCAACCCAAACCCAGGCTTTAGGCAGCAGCTTGAGGAGTTTGGCTGGGGAAACTCCCAAAAGGTAGGGGCTGCGCAAGGCCGAGGAGCCTGTATTCTCCTTGATCTTAGCACCCATTGGATGGGGTGCAGGCGGTGCCTTTCCCCTGCCTCCACTCTCACTCGGCTCACAAACTCACAAACTCACGATCCTCCTGCCTCAGACTCCAAGCACTGGGATTGCACCCGGGCCACCACACCTAGCCTGGGTTTTCAGGTTTTGTTTTGTTTGTCTCTTTAACTGAGAATTTGGATGCTTTTAGACCAGACTGTGACCAACACAAGTGTTCCTAACACAGAACAGTTCAGGGTTTGTCCACTTGAGGGTCTGTGTTCTGTTCTACCCAGGGTCTTTCTGAGGCCAAAGGAGTCCTTTCTCTTAACACTTCTGGGGAGACAACACATGAAATTATCAGACTAAAAAAAAGAAAGAAAAAAAGAAAAGAAAAATAAAAAATCAGGTTGAAACCACTCAGCTAACTAGGAGGGAGAGGGAGAGAAATCAGTGAGAATAACTGGGAAGATGGCAGTGGGGACGGCAAGGCTGCCATAGGCCAGGACCAAACAAGGAAGAGGCCCCGGGTGTGTGGTGTCTTTGAATCTAGCGACAAGGACGCGGTTCAATGCGGTTTGCAGCGGGCGCATCTGGAATATGTCCTGCCGAGGGGTAGAGGTTAGATCCTCAGGGTTGAGGCGGGGCGCCCCGGTGAGGGTTGGAAAGTCTTCGAACGGAGACAGAGGGGCGCCTGGAGGATCCACGTGTGGGGAGACGGGGAAGGGTGGAGGTGGCATCCTGGTGGCAGCTGGACCCCCGCCCCCTCCCCTCCCCGCCCCAGCTTCGCCGGCAGCTGGAGGAGCGCTTCGGGGACAGCCCTTTTCGGGACGAGGAGGACTTGCGCACGCTGCTCCCTCTCTGCAAGCGCTGTCGCCAGGGCTCGGCGACCTCGGCCGCGTCGGCCACGTCGGCCACAGCGCCCTCGGCTTCCGAGGGGACCCTGCAGCGCCTGGTGCCGCGATCGCCGCGGGACGCCCACCGGCCGCTGCCGCTGCTGGCGCGCGTCAAGCAGACTTTCTCCTGCCTCCCGAGGTGCCTGTCGCGCAAGGGCGACAAGTGAGCGCCGCCGCGCCTGCCGCTCCGCCCCGTCTTGACGCCGCAGCCTTCTCGGGCGGCTAGGGCTTCCCTCGGGCGGCTAGGGCTTCCCACGGCCGGCCGGGATGCAGCCAGAGCCCGTGGGAACCTAGCCCCTGCCCCGTGCCCATCACGCTTGTCTGCGTCCGTCCTCGGTGTCCCCTCTGTGAGTCTGTGTTCGGCCGGCCTGCTGCAAGCCACCTGGTGCCTTAGTCCTTGAGCTCTGGAGAGGGGTCCTGGGCCTCCACCCCGACGGGACGGGCGAGGAGCAGGACCGGCCTGGCGGACCGGCCTGGAGGACCGGCCTGGAGGAGATTAAAGAGACACAGAAGTTGCCTGGCCTCTGGTCATTCCGCAGAGCCTGGGCTTGGGAGCCTGCAGGAGGCAGGGCAGGAACAGCTTCCAGGGGCCCTGGGAAGCGCCGTTGTCCACGGGTGTGCAGAGCTGAATTCCAAGACCATGCCCTTCTACGACACCAGCCCTCCCTCCCATCTCCCCACAGATGGACTCTTGTGCCCCTTTGCTCTGGACCCCCACCACCACCTCCCGAGGCCTTTTCCTCTTCTCCAATCCTTCCTCCTCCTACTCCTCTGAACAGAAATAACTGGCCATTGTGGTCCAGTTGGTGGTGTTGCCTTCACATCATCTTTTACTGTCTGAAATGGCTCTATCCTCAGGGATAACACCTAGGCTCAGAGAGGTCAGGCAGCAGGCCCAGGCGCACACAGCTAGGGCAGGTCATTCCCAGCTGTGAGGGTAAGGAGGAAGCAACTCCTGGTGTGCTGTTTCCTGGAGAGAGAGAGACCCATGAGGTGCAGGGGGCGGCAGAACTCTCTCTCTCTTTCTCTTTTAAGGTTACTAATCCAGCAAAGCAGTAAGTAACCCTCTGGAGGGACAGAGCTGAGAGAGCTAAAGTAGTTATCACTCAGTAGACTCTTGTGGCTTGGTGGCGGATGGGGAGGCACTGAGCTGAGCGAAGGGTGTAACCACAGCAATCTCCAATTCCTCATTCAAGTGTTCATTGAGTATACAATGTGCCCGGTGCTGTGCTGGGCCCTGGAGCCACTGCAGTGAGCAAGCCGAGGTATACTGCTGAGCTTCCAGTGGAAGACACCAGATAAAAGGAGGGGTAAGAGAGTGGACCGTCTGCCATGTGACTGGGAGTGGGGGTGGGTAGGCGGAGCAGGTGGGAGCTCTGAGTTAGGACAGGGTGGAGAGGAAAAAGGCTGGGCTCTCCAGAGGGCGCCACGCCTCTCTGCAGCCTCCCGGATGGTTGGCGGCACCCCCCCCCAACCGTTCTGCCCCAGGGCCGTTTCATCTTAAAAACACACAAAATCGTGGCCCCCATCACTTACAGACAAAACCGAGCCCTTTGGCATAATGTCCCAGATCCTTCTGGAAGCTCCCTGGCCCGAGTATCACCTCCACACACCTTGTCTCAACAGCAAGTGCTATCGGCTGAGGATGTGGCCGCGGTCCTAAACACTGCAGCTCAGACGATCTTCATTCTACCCTCCTTGAAGGTGTCCCGTGTATCAGAGGAGAAAACTGAGGCTGGTCATAAGAGATGGGGTTGGGATGTGAGCTCAGAACCCCCTCTCTTTATTAATTACTCTTTGTGATCTAGAAACATGAAGGGCTCCCTCTGACACACAGGAATGGGCTGCTTGGATGGACAGAACACCTCAGAGTGGCTTCTAAAACTCCAACCTCAACTAGAGTATAGATGGGAAGATTATCCCATCTATACTAATCATCTACAGACTGGTTTCCTTGTCCTTATTCCCTAAACAATACATCAGGCACTTAACATTTGCTTCAGATCCGACATAAGTATTTTTAGAGGTGGTCCAAGGCACGTAGGATTCTTGCAGGCTCTGTGTAAATAGTCCACCCCTTGGTTTAAAGGATTTGCCATGCATTTCAGCATTCAGTGGTGTCCCGGAACCAACCACTCACCAATATAAAGGGACAACTAATTCTTACTCTTGTTAATCACATGAAATGCTTTGTGTCCCCTCTGGAGTTCACAGGTCTGAGTCTGGAATGGACTGTGGCTGCAAAAGTATCACGGGACAGCTGCTGGCATATGGAACCAAGAGGAGGAGGAGTAAAAACACCCTCCCACGGGTGCTTGTGAAGGGGAGACCTCACTCCCCACCTCTGGCCTTGCTGGCTGGACTAGTCACTGCACTAGAAGATTTTTTTTTCCTTTCAGAGCCTCAGTTTACCACATACACAGCAAGGGCTGGGGCAACCTGAACGACTCGACATCTTTCATACTGCAAATATTTATAATAAAAAGCACAGACTCTAGAACAGGGTGTGGCGGTGCGTGTCTAAAGGGCAACCCTCAGGAGGCGGAGGCAGAAGGGTTGCCTGGGTTAAACGCTGAGACCCCCGTCTCAACCTCCCCGCTTCCGAAACACAGCCACCCCCAAATAACACATCCATGCGAAAATGCTCTTGTGCACTCAGTAGATCGCAGACCCCACTGGGAGGTTCTCAAGAGGTGGTAAGGGGCCACAGACAGGCAGCTTTGGGTCCTCAATGTTCCTGGTGGGGCTACAGAGCCAGGTATTTAATGACAGGTAATTAACAGCAGTAATCAAAGGTCCTGAGACCCAATGGGGAAGGATTCAGCCAGGCCAGCATGAGGGTGAACAGTCACTCATTTTGGCAATTCCAAAATGGGAAGGGACAAGCTCAGCCTGTGAAGTGTCTGCATGGGAGTGAGAGTGGGGACTGGCCAGCATTCTGGTCCCTGGGCTTCTCTAGGGTCCAGCGTGGCGGTCACCTGTATGCCTTTGAAGCCACTCATTGCCTCCCAATTGCGACAGGAATAGATTTGAGAAGCACTTTCCCTGTCCAGCGTCCACCATCCAGGTCTAGAGAAAAGACTGACAGCCGGGCCCAGCGTGGTCCCACCAGGTAGCTGGTGCTGAGGCTTTGGGATGCTGGAGTCCAGGAATCAGAGACCACCGTGTAACATAGCAGGATAGTCTCAGGAAGACGAAGCAAAAAGGAGGCCATGTACAGGTGGGCTAGGAGAATCGGGGTGGTGGAGCAAGATTGCTCCTCTATGGGAGACTGCCTTCACCCACAGAATCCTGGCCAGAGCACCCCTCCACACTGTGGGAGTTCATCTTTGTCTGCTGGGCTCTGGCACAGTTGGCCACCTGGAGAGGAGAAAGGAAAAGGGCCTTGGGGTAAAAGAACTATGCAGAAAAAGCAAAACTTTGCCTACACTGACTTTCACGTGTTTGTGCTCCATTCAGGTGACCTGGTTAATTCCCTGACACATGCACACATGCGCGGCCAGCGCACCATCCCTAGCATTTTGCTTAGGGAATATCCTGTTCACGGGAAATCTATGGCAGGAACCAGAGGTCCTCTGCGTCTCTAGGACCGGTTGGTAGCATATATAGAAAGCGGAAACCAGGAAGGGTTGTGCTGGGAGGATTCGGGAAGACCGTCTTCCGCCTCCCCTGGAAATCTGTAGCTCAGCGGGGTTACCTATGAGACACAGGCAGGGTACAGCAGTTTTTTCAGTAGGGTGCAGCAGGGTCCTGAAAAAGCCTGGCCAGGACCAGGCCATGAACTCACAAAGCCTCAGTGCCCTGGTGGAGAGTAGCACCAGCCCATAAGCTGGGACCTTGGACAATCCACGTGGCCTCAAGGCTGAGTGTAGTGTTCCCCAATATAAAAGAGGACCTTTCCACAGACTCTTGGCATTACCTAACATTAGGCTGCCGCTACCTGTGACCTCCCCATCCTTCTGGGAGCCTCTCCTCTCACCCCACAGAGAAATTAGAAGGCACCCCCTCTTGTAATTCTCACCCCAAAACGGCTAACCTCAGCATCTCGGGAGCCTTCTTTTCAGGGCCCTCCTATAGGGATGCCCCTTGCTCAGGCATCACAAACATTCAGAAATGAGCCTCTCTAAAGGGGGTTTTAAAACTTGTCCCTGAGCCACAAGCAACCCAGGTGCACACCAGGCCACTGTCAGCACAAACACCCAAGTCATCTCCAGCTCCCCCTCTCCTGAGACAGTTAGACAACGTCCTCTGGTTAACTACTCCCAGCCTCTTTAGTCTTCATTTCATCTGGCCTCTGTCCCTCCAGCTCATAATGCCATTAGCTGCCAAGTTCAAAGGAGAAGGCATTCCAGCCTTCACCAGGGTGGTCCAGCACCTGGTGAATCCATCTTACTCCAAACATTCTCACTGGCTCTCCAAGGTCCTTTCTATTGATGAGATGGTCACAGGCTGCCCCTCTTCAGAGGCCGTCACCTCATTGTCCAAGCGTGATGTTTCTGCAAAGCAGCCAGTTTCAGATAAGTGCTTAATGGGGGAAAGCAGGTTGGTTGGCTTTTATTCTGGTGGTGCTGGGAGATTGAAACCAGGACCCTGGGCATGGAGGGCATGGATGTTATCACTGAGCTGCATATACCCAACCCGGCTCTTGACAAAAAATTTAAATCCTAGAAGTTAAGAGCAAATAAGAAACACTGCCTTCACGTTAGTTCTATTGCAAAACCGCATTTTAAATAGACATGCTTTTTCTGCCCGTGTGTAACTGTTCATATGTGCATGTATGTGTGTGTGTGCATGGCCCTGTGCATGTGTTGTGCTATTATTTCTGATGCAGGAAGGCATGTCATACCTCACCAGGAAAATTTGGACGAGGCGGGCGTTTTCAGGAGTTAACATTGGCTAACAGAGCCACGGTTTATCTGCAGCAGTGCTCTAAACAGGGCAGCACAAAGCAAGGGTGTGGAGTGTGGTGAGAACGGCGTGACCCTCACGGGAACCTAGCAGAGATCCATACAACAAAACAACCTTGAGCAAGAGAACCAGCTACGCACACACTCTCAGACACACATGGCCAGCGGTTTCAGGCCCAGGCTGCTCACTGTTTCTTGAATGCAACCATGTCCTTCCACAAGCAGCAGGACTTTGCCAGCGCTGATCCAGAAACGTCACTCTACCTCACAGCCTTCTACTCTCCCTTAAAGTCCTGTTCAGTTCATCTGACAGATGCTGGCTGAGCAACCACTTCATGCCAGGCACTGCCTAGTCCCTGGAGCCACAGCGGTGAACAAAACAAGGGTCACTCTCATCATGGTACCCTCTGCCCTGAGCCCAAATTGTCTTTGAGTTAGAGTATCCTCCATACAATGAGTAAATAGGCTGTGACGGTGTGCCCGTGCTAAGTTCTTTGTGCATATTCGGGCTGGTTATGGGGATTTCCGGTACTGTTGTCTTCGGTGGTAAGAGCTGAAAGCACCACCTCCGTCCCCTGTGGCGATCGGGAATGATGTGGCCCCAGGGT